AGTGATCATTGGAAATGGAGGTCTTTAGAAGGTGACTGGGTCATAAAGATGGAACCTTGGGAATTTTATTAGTACTTTTATTAAAAAGGCCTCAGAAGACTTTCTCATCTCATTGACCATGTGAGGTTATGCACAAAGTCTCCTGTCTTCAAACCAGGAATTATAAACTCATCAGACCCCAGTCTGCTGGTATGAATTCTCAGCCTTCAAATTTCTGAGAAACAAATGTCTATAATGATAAGATATATACCTCATCTATGACATTCTTATTTTATTAGTAGCATTAATGTTTATTGCTTTGGATGTACAGAGTTAAAGAATACATTGTTTTGTAGCAGCCCAAACAGAGTAGGACGAATATCTTAGCAATTAGAAGCATTTGTTTTTGCTGCTTGACTCTTGCTGTGTTTCAGTCATGAGATCTGATGAAAATAGGGTTTGTTCTAAGCACTGCATAAAGGATTTATAAATAAAACTAAAGGATTTATAACTATGAATGTAGCTGACTCTGAACCAGTGAACTATTCAGAAGTAATCCTTATATAAATAATATGAATTCAGAGAAGCCATAAACTCAAATTCAAACTAAAATCCTGTTTCACAAGATAACCCCAATAAAATGTGGAAACTTTAATTTATAAAGTGATATATATACACACATACATGTATATATAAATTAGTGAGTAAATTTTAAAGTTAGTTTAGTCCCTTGTCAAAGGTTTTAAGTACCTAAAGAAAGGTTTGTTTTTTTATAGCTTGACAAAAGAAAGGCCAAAAGGACTATAAAGTCACACAGATTTTCTAATATATTAAAGTCATATCAGAAAGAAAAAAGCAAAACTGCCATCTGGTTGTGATTGGATACTACGTGAGCAAATCTGTTTCAGCTTTTACATAGCTTCTCCTTCTTGTACCATTGTGCCATTCTGAAGGGCCCATTCCAGCCAACATTATGTTCTTTCAGATTTGTTAGCAAAAGCAATTTTAATTTGACCATCCTTTTTCAAGCATTAATCAAGCATACTGTTTCCAAACAGAGTCCCTTCCAGAAGATTGAACTTGTCTAAAAGAACAATGCAGACAGGCCTTGGTCCCTTAGCATCTGATTGCCATCTTGATGTACCATCTGGAGAGAAAGATGTGATCCAAGTAAAATGTGCTTGGAATACTTTTTAAGACATAGCAGAACAAAGAATAACCTAAGAAGAAAAATACAGGGCTAAGCAGCTGCCTTTCATCTATGTTGAGCTGTTATTAAGGAGCTTTTGTCTGTGACCATTTATTGAGCACCCCCTTTGAACCAGATGTGATGCCGTATCATTGAGTTGTGCCCACCATTCCCTCCCATGCTAGCAATGCTTTGGAAAAACTTTCTTTCAATTCCTAGAATGTAACAGAGTCCTTCTGCCTTTAGAGTCTTCAAACGAATTATTCCTAACTGAATGTTGAAATCACTTCCACTTCACTTCCCCCGGCAATTTTCTTTCTTTTTAAAAAGTCATGTTAAATATCTCTTTATCAAAGACTTTCTCTGATAAACCATGCTGTTAATTTCCCCAGTCACTTCTTTAATAACATTTTGAACTTTTCCTTTAAAGCACCTAGCAAAATCATAATTGAGTAGATATTTGTGATAGATACTTTTGAAATATTCTCTGCAAGGTGTGTCCGAAAGACTAGGATAGTCACTGACTTACCATGAGATTCCCAGCTGCTAGAAAAAAGTGCTGAGTACATAATAGAGGCTTATCAAGTGTTTGTTGGATGATAAAAAAATAAAAATGCCATTTCTTCATGCACTTACAGTGTGCCAGTATTAATTTTAATGTAGAATCTTTGCTGATTTTCATTATTAGTCCTAATTTTTTAGATTAAGCTATAAAGGCAATAAATTAGAATAAAATTATCTAGTGACGCAGAGTAAGAGAAGTGGCTAGTGATGAAGGAGATGTTATTAGTGTTATTAGCAAAATTTCTGTACATAAAACATCCTAGCACTTCACATTCCACCCAAGTGTCAGCCTTCCTCCACCACTGTCACAGGGTCTTTCACCCACCTCCCTCCCTTTTTTTTCCTCCCACCTCCCCTTTCTGTTGTTAGCTTCCTACTGAAAACAAGTCTCCATTTTTTGTTGTAGTCTTTATTTGAAAATAAAAACCAATAGTATCTTATTATGCCCACTGTTTTCCACAGTAAATTTTAAGATAGTATGGAAAGATAAAGTTTTCACAGAAAGGATACATAGCACTGGCGGATTTGAGTCTTTTTATGTGAATTCTGATTGCATGTCAGCCATGTTCTTGTAAGATTAAGATTGGAACTTACTGAGAGTCGCCTCTGTGTTTCATTTTACATAAAAGCTTACAGAAGTTTTGTTTCCAGGTGTATGTGGTCTGTCCCATGTTAGCTTGAAATGCAAGTTTTTATTTTGGATGCTTTTCATACATATTGTGGCATCCTGTACCAACCATACCTGTCCTGTAAGCTCTGATTTCTTTGAAATTTTTGAAGGCTTCGGAATACATTTTACTTCAGATTCTCATTAAACTAAAGAATTCTCCTTGTTTCAGTATATAATCTTAATTTATTTATAAACATCTGATGCCGAAATTATTGTTTTCTACTTCAGTGGACTTTGAAATGGTATGCCAAATATATAGTTGCAGCTGATTGATTGATTTTCTCAAATATTTTCCATTTTGAGAGTTCATTTAATCAGTTACTTTATGCTGATTTTTAAATGTTGGTGACAAATAAGAAATGAACAGATAAAGAGTACCTGCAAATTCAGATATGTAAATCTACTGCATTTTTAATGACTGGAGAGTTAGAACACTTTGAAACCATTATACTGCTGATGAGTATTTAAGTTTCTTGTTAAATGATTCATTTTCTGTCTCAAGATTAGGACATTAGGATCTAATTAGGAAACTGTCATGGTTTGGGTGCAAATAAACCTAACATCGTTTGCCTTTACAAATGCGGTTTGAGGTTATACTTACGTAATGATGGGGGGGTTGCGGAGGTGGGGAGCCTGTTATTGTTGGTTCTTTTATAAGTTCACTCTGGTTTAAGATCAGACTCAGGGGTGGATACACCCTATGCGGTGCTCAGGGGCCATACAGTACTAGGGAGCAAATTCAGAGCCTTAATACATGCCAGACTAGTATCGTAATGCTTGAACCATGTTTCTGGCTTTTATAATTATAGTTTTGAGAGTTAATTGGATGAATTTTTCTTACTACTCATATTCATACATAGTTTTTTTCACCAGACTCTCTATATAGAACTTTTTATTTACAAAAATTAAATATATGAAAACATTCTTAGGAAAAAGAAAATAAAAGCTATGCTTAAGCTACTCTCTGAAAGTTGTTTTACATTTTGTTATTTTTCCTTCTAAACTTGTAGTTATACATTCGAGGAGGTGACTTAGACATAAACAATAGAAATTTATTTTCACCAGTAGTTCAATATCATAGTGTCAGCAGGTTTGGTTTCTTCTGAGGTCTATTCTTGGTTTGCGAAATCCTATCTTCTCCCTGTATCTTCACATGGTGTTCCCTCTGTGCAACTGGATCCTGACTTGCTCTTCCCAGTCCAACCCATCAAGGTTTGAGAAAGAGTTGACATACACTCTCTATAAGGTATTCAACATGATAGTTCAGGAGACATATACAGTGAAATGATTACCATATAGCTTCAGCTAATATCCATCCTTCTTATGCAATTTGCCTTGGTCTCTGAGTTTCAAGGAAAGTCCTTCAGCTCAGGTTCTAGAATTCTCTTAGAAAAGATTTCTTGAACACTTATTAGCTGTCATTCTTTTGAAAGGAAAAGAAGTCAGGAATAGCTCTATTACCATTTAGTGATACTCTACCATTTATTCATTTGATTGATTTTTATATGAAAATCATATAACATGATAAATGTGTTGTGATAAATGTGTACATTTTTTTCATTTAAATTCTCTTTATAATTTTTTTGTTATAGTTTAGAAGTATGATTATGATAGTGCTAACACTTATGGTATTGATATACAAAGTTACTACACACTACTGATCTTGAACCCTTTGAAAATCATGTAGCCATATTTAGAAAAATATTTCTATGACTTTTCTGGAAATCACATTGTTTTCTTTTTAATTATAGATACAGGAAGTATATCTTAAATATATAGTATATGTAACTAAATATTTGCAAATTATAAATAACCATTTTGTAACTTAAAAGTTTAAAAATATTTCATCGAACATTAGAAGTTAACTTATAGCTGGTATTGCATCAATAATTTCAATGTACTTATTGATAATTGCATAAATGAGCTGATTTCCTCTTAGAAATCTTTTATTTAATTTACATTAGGGCTCTAATAAATATTTATTAAAGAAAATTAAGCATTATATAAACAAAAATAATAAAAAATAACCTCTCAGCGGGCACATTCAGGGTGGTATGGCCATGGTGAGCAAACTGATGAACAATGGGAGGACAGTGCTACAGTGCTACAGACAACCTTTCATATTTGTATTGCCTTATTTAGATATCAAGTACCTTTACTTTCATTTTCTAACTTTATATTAAATGATTTAATTTAAAGGGCTGGAGCGATAGCACAGCGGTAATGACAGAGGCAATTCATTGTGATATAGAGGACAGGATTGACCACATTTCAATAGCTATGCCTATTCACCTCTTAGAAATCTTAGAGCATCCCTAACAAATCTTTGTCTTGTACTCTCACTTAAGTACCTAATAGAAAAATATTTTCAGTGAAGGCTCTGATTGCATAGATCTCTGGACTTGTACTACATGTTATGTACTGTATTATTCCTTTCTAAAATCCTAGAAAATAACTAGTAAAATTTCATGCTCATTCTGCAGATGAGCAAACTAAGGCTGAAAAATAAAATTTGCTTTAATTAGTTTCATTTATAAAATTGTTCATTTGGCAGAAGTGGCCTACATTTGGGGAATAAATGTTTGTCTTTATTTCCAGCTGGATATGGTGTTCCCTTTCCAACAGATGAACCTACAGATATTATTCCACGAAGCTGCCAACTAACAACAGATGTTCCTCAAGTCACACAGCTGCTAAACATGACTAAACTCCGCCAAACTGAGATAAAATTTGGAGGTCATCCTCTCCGTTCAGCAGAATCAGGTATACATTCAGGCACCTAAATTGAAGGCATATTTTATGTTTGTAAGACATAAATTGGAGAAAAAAAGTCTTTCAGTGTTGCTTCTTATAGCTTGAGGTTAAACATTAAGTCACTTTAACAGAATTTCCTGTCAGTGATAAGTCATTATTTTAATTTTCTCCTTAGCGACTAAAATATTTTCTGTAGTTTTACATAATAAATCAAAACATCCTTGATTTATTCCTCTCCTTTTCCTATATGCTTCCAAACACTGCCAATTACACCTTCTAAACATGTCTCAAGTCTGCCTCATCTTCAGTTCCTACTTCTGCTTCCATTTTTTTCATGTCCCTATTGTTGCTCACCTTAGCCTCCCAGTTAATCCCCACATTGCTGTCAAAATTATCTTTCTGTCACACAGAGATAATCATGATGCTCTTTGGTTAGACTTTTAATCTTTTCCCATTATCTATAAGACAAAATTTGAAACTCCTTAGGAACTTTCCAAAAGTTAACCTCTCCAGTCCTAAATCTTTATTCTCAGGAAACCTTTCTCTCATTTCCCAATGTGATTTTTTTTGATCAGTTTGTCTGTTCTCGCATGTTTATATCTTGGATGTGCTGAGTTTTAGGCCTAAAATTGCTTCTTTGGTTTTCTGCCTAAAAAGGCTCTGAATTCATTTTTCTAGATCTAATTCAAATGCTACCTCTGCTAGCTATGCAGCATTTCTTAATTCCAACCAGCATTATTCTCTTTCCATACCCCCTTTCTTTTTCTTATAAAATGTATCTGTTTCCCAGTAAGTATGACTTCCTCTAAGGATGTGACACTGTATGTGATTTTTCTATATTCCAATTATTTAGAAAACAATCCTTGCCATATGTACCGGGTCGGAACCTGCAAACTCAGATAACTATGGAGTCTAATAAGATAGCACAGATGAATAAAAGGACTGCATGCCTGAATACCTGATGAATGCGGACATTTTATACTTATAAAATGAGCCTTATTGGGAGTGAATGTACAGTTTGGGAGGGAAGTAAGAACTTCAAAGAAATTATTCTATACTATTAAGAGCAATACTTTAACAACCAAGTCACGGTCATGGTCACGGTCCTCCTGTTGTTCATCGATTTGCTCAAGCGGGCCCAGTAACGTCTCCATCGTGAGACTTGTTGTTACTGTGTTTGGCATATTGAATACGTCACAGGTAGCTTGCCAGGCTTTGCCATGCGGGCGAAATACTCTCGGTAGCTTGCCGGGCTCTCCAAGAGGGGTGGAGGAATCGAGCTCGGATCGGCCATGTTGGCCGCTTGTAAGGCAAATGCCCTACCCCTGTGCTGTCGCTCCAGCCCAGTGATAATTGATAAATAAACCTCAGCTTCCATGAAGGAGCTCTAAAGAGCAGTGAGGACTGTAGCACAGTTGATGATCCTTTTTAGCCTAAAAGGGTAGTTGCAATTTAGTTCTAGACAAGTGCTATGTTATAGGAATACAAGTCCAATGTCACTAAAACTTCCTTTTAAAATTGTCTTAACATGATAAGGAGGTGCCATGGGGGATGGAAGAGGAGCTTGGAACTGACACTGGTGATTGGTCTGGAGTTGGAACATTCTAAGCCTGAAAACTACTATTAGCAGCATTGTAAATCACAGCCCCTAAATAAAAATGGGGAAAAAAGGGAATCTTTCATTTTAAGTCACCATCACGGTCACGGTCCTCCCGTTGTTCATCGATTTGCTCGAGCGGGCCCAGTAACGTCTCCATTGTGACACTTGTTGCTGTGTTCGGCATATCGAATACGTCACGGGGAGCTTGTCAGGCTTTGCCGTGCCGACGAGATATTCTCGGTAGCTTGCCAAGCTCGCCGAGAGCCTGTTCAACCAAATACAATGCATTTTTGGCTTGTCCTGTACTAACTCTCCCCCTTTCTTTAAAAAAAGAGTGGGGAGAATCAAGTATCCCAGTGTTTATTATAAATCTCCCTACATTAGACCATTTTCTACATGTTTTTTCAAAACACTTCTGGGGACCACTAAGTCAGTGATGGTTGTAAGTGATCACTCAGGATGGGAGATGTGTGCTCAAAGTAGATAACGGACCAAACATAACAGCCTCTCAGAATCTATATTGCAAACCATGATCCCCAAAAGTAGAGAGAGTAAAAAAGGAGCCTGCCACAGAAATGGGCGGTAAGATGGGGGTAGCGGGAAGGATAATGGGGACATTCATTGCTGGTGGAAAATACACACTGGTGGAGGGATGGGTGTTCGATCATTGTATGACTGAAACTCAATCATGGAAGCTTTGTAACTGTATCTCGGTGATTCGATTAAAAAAAGATTTAAGTAATTCTTTACATTATTTGATGAGATTAATAAACATCTAATAAGATTAATCAAGAGGAAAAAGAAAAATAATTATGAATTTCAAGCATGAAGTAAGGGTTATCATTACAGATTCCACAGACATCAAAAGGATAAGGACACATTATGAACAACTTTATGGCAACAAATATGTAATTTTAAAATAAAAAGGACAAATACATTAAGAGGTGAAACCTGCCAAAAGTGACTGAAGAAAAAATAATTATTAAAATAAATTATCTTTGAAGAAAAAATCCCCCTCTAACCCAAATCATGTAAGAGCTGCTTTCTTTTTATGTCTGCTGACCTAATGCGTGAATAATACTTATCAATCAAGACTAATATTACTTAGATGAGTGGTTCTCAACCTCATATATGTGGAATCAATTGGGACACTTAAAAAATTATGAATACTTACATTTGCTTCTCCGTTCTGTGTTTTACCCCTATATATTTTTAACTCCTCCAGTTATTCTCATACATAGCCTGGTGTGTGAACCACTGGGTCACTTATTCTCCCAAGTGATGTTACTCAGCTTATGTTAATGCTGAAGTAATTCAGAGGAAGGTAAAGGATCTCGAGAGATAGTACAGAGCTTACCTTACATATAGCCAGCAGTCTGATTTGATCCCCAATACTGAATCTGACCTCCTATGCACACCAGAAATGATCCCTGAGTCAAGTCAAGAGTAAGCCCTCAACACAGCTGATGTGGCCCAATCCACCATCACCACCCCCCCCACGAAAAAAGAAAATCAAAGGTGAAAGACAAGGGAACTTACAGAGAAATAAATAGATCTTGAAAGCATTCAATAAATACTTGCATAGCACTGTATATAGCACTGTCCTCCCATTGTTCATCAATTTGCTCAAGCGTGCCCGGTAACGTCTTCATTGTGAGACTTCTCGTTACTGTGTTTGGCATATTGAATACTCTCGGTATCTTACCAGGCTCTCCGAGAGGGGCGGAGGAATCAAAACCAGCTCAGCTGGACTGGCTGCGTGCAAGGCAAATGCCCTACCGCTGTGCTATCATAGGTAAGCACAGGATTATAGGAGTACAGTCTCAAGCAGAGTACTGAACACATAAGGAGCCAACAAAATGCATGAAAGAGTAGACTTGCTAAGAGGAGTAATCCAAGCAGACAAAATAACTGTCATGTCCTAAAGCAGGGAAGTGATATATATGTCTATATATATATTTTTTAGAAAAGCGCGTTTGACAAGATTGACGATGAACTTTTAAACCTAGTGACAAGAAATTAGTTAATACACTAAGATGCCCTTGCAGCAGTCTAAGCATAAAATGAGTAGTTGCACACATGGAAAACAAATCAACTGTAGAGAAACTGCAGGGGAAAAGTTGGCAGCACTTGTTGATTCTGAGCACAGTGGAAAGAGAAAGTGGTTAAAGTTTTGGGATGTCAAATAAAGGGTGTTGGGAGGATCCTCCCAGGATGGGAGAAGCATGCAGAAAGTACACTGTAGACCAAACATGGTTGCCACTCAATGCCTCTTTTGCAAACCACAACACCCAAAAGGAGAGAGAGAACAGAGGGGAATGCCCTGCCACAGAGAGAGGCAGGGGGAATGGGGGTATAGGGGGTGGGAGGGATAATGGGATCAGTGGTGGTGGGAAATGGGCACTGGTGGAGGAATGAGTATTTGATCATTGTATAATTGAAACCCAAGCACAAAATATGTAAGTCTACAACTGTACCTCATGGTGTCTCACTAATAAAATTTTTAAAAAATTGGGGGGTATCAAAGAAGAAACAGGATAAACACGATATAATCTTGATAAAATTAAGGAGTTGCAAAAGTGGACTCAGTTTTACTTTCTGTTTCTAGAGATAGAGATATTCATTTATTCTTGTTGTGTCTTTGACATGTCATTCCTCATCAGCATAAACATTTCCTAAATTGTATAGTCCTGCAGGATTGGGAGCCACTAATTTGGTAACATTTTAGTTTAAAAAATAGCAGAAAACTATTTGTAGATAGTCACTACATTTGGAGAATGTATAGTAAATCCCCATGTCCCATCACCTGTTTCCACAATTACCTACAATTAGGTAGGCGTTTTTGATAACAGTAAAGTTGCCTTAAAGAATTCATATATTTATTAGCTATAACAACTTGTGTCTTTGTTATATACACAGCTTAGGGAAACAGATATGGGGAGAGAAGAAAATATGAATAATTTTTGTTCATTAGAGATCCATTAGAAAACATATAAGGAGCCTGGGAGTAAGTTGGTCAATGGTAGTGCACCTGATTGCAGGCCTGAGGCCACCTGCTGGATCCCTAGCATTGCCCCACATTTCCAGGGTTACTTCGGCAGCACTGCCATTGTGATCTGTGACACTGCAATAGAGTAGACAGTATCTTAAGCACTGCACACAAGTACGTGTAAGAGTTGCAAGCCCCACGGCAAATGTGTGACTCCCAGTGAATAGTGTAGCTAGGTGTGCAACCCCTGGTAGTCATAACAACAAATAGGGGAAGAGGGATTAGAATAAAATATAAAAAGGCTGAAAGAAGTCTCACTACCCAAACAACCAATGTAAATATCCTGGTTAGAATGAAGTCTTTTTTTAAAAAAAATAATAAATTTGTTTCTTTTTAATAGGGGTCACACCTAGTAGTGCT